CAAACCCCCCCCAGCAAAACAAAAAAAAAAAAAAAAAAAAAGAAGAATATAAAAGCTAATTTTGTTATTTCAATACACAAAATGAACATTATCCTGGAGGCTATGTTTTAGAAACCCCAATCTTTCTTTTTGATTACTCTTCAGTGTAAGTCGTCCTTTACAAAGAAAAAAGAAAGGCAGTTGATTATGGGAAGAGTCCTATTTAAATGGGAAGTTTTTAAAAAATGGTTTGGGGATGAGGTTGACAGCACTTTGGAGTCAGAAAGAAATTTCAATGCAGGCCTCCCTCCTGGTGGATGGTGGTGGCTCTGTGACCGTGAGAAGTTGCTTAGACGCTTTGAATCTGTTTCCTCTGCCTAGACCCTGATATGCCTTTCATGAGGAATAATTATTCCTAGAACTTTGGAGGAGTCCCTGGGACTCAAATGTACTACATTCTAATCATCTCTCTCTCGTCCTGTGAGAGTGTATGGTATCGCTGTGAGAATACACAGATTACATTCTAATCATCTCTCTCTCGTAAGAGAATACACAGATTATCATCCAGGCCACGTTACTCATTAGTATATATGTAGAGAGAGTTTTATTTATTTTTCATTATTATTTTATTTAACTTTAGTTATTTAAATTTGACCAGAGAGGGACAGAGAGAGAGAGAAAGTGAAAAAGCAAGCCACCAGGTCCAGGACTCGGTCAGCTGACTGTGGTCAGCCATGTGGGAGTCTAGCACCCCAAACACCGCACTACCTGTCGGTCCCCGTAGAGAGGGTTTCAACCCAGGGTGTGAATGATAATGTTCACATTTGCACCATACATCCACCCACCCACTTACACACACACACGTTAAGAGACAGTGAGGGAGACAGAGAAGAGAGATAAAAGTATTTTGGCAGGGTATCACCTTGTCACAGTCCCCTGACCTAGCCTCCCAGTTAGCCAGGGTTACGAGCCTGCTCTGCTGCTGCACCCAGCCTTTTTAAGTTAGTCTGGGAACCATACCCGGGCCTCCCATGTGCTTCCAGCCTTGCACAGTGTCATGTCTGAGCTTATTTTATATATATATATATATATATACATATATATATCCAAATGTGAAATGCATCGTCCCTTGTCCAAACAATTCTACTTTTCAGAATTTAACTTATAAGTTGTTCACTGAAATGTAGGACTTTTTCTTTTTCCCTTTTTAGATTATATATTATATATTTAATATTGGGTCATATATATATGTATATAATACTAACTAAACTACCATGTCATCCAAGCTCCTATAGATAACAGGCAAGGACATAAAATTTCAAGAGAAAATGTTATTTTGGTAATTATGCAAATTGGGAATTTAATTTTCAAGTACGATATGTTTGTATTGGATATATTCTGTGGCCATTTAAATTTATTTTTTTTCAGTCATAGAATGTTTTATTTTAAATTTGTTGTTCTAAATTTCAAATACAACACATGTGACAAGGAAGCAACAGTTAACACACATCTGCCACAGTTCTCTCTCTAAATGATCTTTTCTATATAATCTGATATCTTACAATTTCTTTCAATTTCTTACATTTATGGTATCCTTATAGGCAGCAATGGATCATTTAAATTTATTGTTTTCAGAATTGTACGTGATCTCCAAATCTTTTTTTGTTTGTTTGTTTTAGAGCATGTGTGCTGGCCAGAGAGACAGAAACAGAGAGACAGAAAACAAGAAATCTCTACCCCCCCCCCACCAGGGGGTATGACCATGCTGCAATTCTTTCTCCTCCATTATTCTCTTGGGATTTGGGGGCATGCACACACATGCACCTGGCATGAATTTTAAGCTGCCAGGGCTCATTCCAGTAAGATGTGGGGAGCAAAGTGCACAGCTCAGAGCGCCTACAGGGGACCTCTGCCCCACCTGCTCCCAGCCTAAGCCCAGCTGAAGAGTTTCTTTTACTTTTTACTTTTTCTTTCTTTCTTCTTCTTTTTTCTTTTTCTTTTCTTTTTTTTTTCCAATGCCAGAGAGCATGTGTGCACACCAGAGAAAGAGAGAGAGAGATAAAGAGAGAGAGATAGACCACCCCCCTGGGGGGCCCTGGTCATGCTGAAATATTTTTTCCTCCAATTCTCTAACCCAATAGGATCCTAGGCCCACATACATGCAATTTTTCAGGCCACTGGGCTGGGACTCAAACCCCAGTCAGTCATGTGGAATCTAGCTTCCTCTGAGCATTGCTTAACTGCTGTGTTAACAGAGCCAGCTCATAAAGAAAATGCCAGACTTTACATAATTCTGAGAATTAGAAATTTCTTACTAGATGGATGAAACTATAATTCATCCCTTTAAGATATTACTTTATTTCTCTGTAATGTAAAACATATTTTAAAGAAAACACCTAAACATACACCATGTGAAGCACACAGATAATTAAAATAATTCATACAAATCTGTACAATTTGTCTCAAAGGACCAGCAGAGGGCAGACACAACCTCAGGGCAGGAGAGAGAATGATTTCTTTTGGCACAAACATTTTAAAATAAGCTGGAAAGTGCTATGAAGCCAAAATATGTGCTTCAGAATATATTTCTTTGGCATATTTTGAGATAACTACACAGAGGGGCTGTAGATACAGAATTGGCTTTTTCAAAGAAACTAATATTTTGTGAAAGAAATTCCTGTGCATTTTTATCAGTAGAGTAAGCAGGGAATGCAAGGAGACCCCTTGCCTGCCCAGGCACAGAGAGAAGGGATTCCAGATCTGACACCTGGTACAGGAGAACAGACAACCTGCATCGTCTCCCTCTCCCATTCATAGCTAATTCCAAGGCTGCACAGTATAAAACCATCCGCCAACTGGCCCTTCTGTTGGTCTCATTATTTTGTGTGGCTCTAGTTCACATATATGAACATAAATAAATTGATATTTATTCCCCTGCTAATCTGCTCATCGGTTTATTTTGTGGACTGACAATCACCAGTGGTCCAGCCTAAGTGACATGGTCTGTAGCACACTGGATTGGAGTGCTGGAAGCCACATGGCTGACCAGGTGTTCAGATCCACAGGTTGGAATGAAAACATACTGGGTGCAATGGGCAACCAAGATCCTGATGAACTGGAAGACCAGGGAAAGGGGATCGCAGCTTCCTAAGACCCTGTCAAGGATTCTCCATCTCTCTCTTTCTCTTTCCTAAGTGTGAGCCTGTGCTATCATTTTAAAACAAAATCAAATCGTTAGAAAGAAAGGAGAAAACTTAAAACTTCCCTGCAGTACTCATAAAGTAAAGCCATTTTCACAGTGTTTGAAACCATGCAGAAGACGTGTGCCAACCGTATGCTAGCATACGGTTTTTAGCTAGCATAGCCACTTAATCCACTTAACTAGCCTTCGGCCCATGCAGCTCACAGAATTCTTCCTCCCCCCACAGCAGAAATCCCAGTGGAGTGAGGACAGGCAGGCAGAGAAGAACATAAAACAGACCAAGAATGTCTCATAAAAAGGCATGAAATTCTTTTTATGAAATTCACAAGGATGGCTTATTAGAAGCTGTCATCCGCTTGGTTGTAGGCCATGTCTGACTCCACGACCCCAATGCTGCTGTAGCTGTAGTTCATATCAATCGAGGTGGCATCGCTTTGGCTCTTCTTCCTCTTTCCCAGCTTTCCTCCCTGGTGGTCGGAGGGGTCCAAAGCAGCAGAATTCACAACTTGATGTCCTTCTGCAAATGGGACCCCGGCCCCCCTCAGTTCAGCTGAATGACTGGCAAGGGGCAAAAGGCGATCATTTCGTAGCCTTTTTCTTATTTCTTCTTCTTTCATCTGAAAACCAACAGCAAAGAAAGAAAAAGAGCCTGACTAACTTTCCACGGGCTCTCATTACTACTGCTGGTCCCGCACACTTACAGCTTCTCTATTCCTTGTTCAGTCGCACAACACACATCTGTCAAGAAGCCCTGGTGAAGGGGACAGACACGAGCCTCCCCTTCCTGGAGCACAGAGTCCAATCCTGCCCTCTGAGAACCCACGGAGAGAGAGAGGTGGGAAATGAATGGCCAGGGCCAAAGCTGAAAGGTTCTTCCTGGCAGGATGGCTGGCGGAGGGTTATGAGGGGCCCCTAGGGGCTGCTGTCTGATGACCTACAGGGTTTCCTCTCAGCTTGACTTCACCTTTCCTCCCATCCCTAGCTCCAACCGAAAAGTTCCTTTTTTCATACAAAGACAATTCCATACTTTCCTTTATTCTGAGAACTGGATGTTGCTTACTTGGGCTCAATGGATGAAATTAACTTTCATCCAACTTCAAGATCCTGCATAATTCCTACATAAGACACAAAAGGTATTTTTTGTGTGTGTTTTTTTTTTTTTTAAACACTAGGCACGAACAAGAGGTCTTCAAAAAGTGAATAGAAAACGCATATTATAAAAAACAATGCATGGGTTTATAAACATTTTTTTTGCACTAAAATAAACTCAACAGTTAATCCCATTTTCCATAAGCTTTTTGAAGTCCCTTTGGAGCATTCAGATAATTAAAATGTGGAATCCAGGGACCAGCAGATGGTGTAATGGTTATGTCACTGGACTCCCACATAGTCAACTTCAGTTCAAGTTCCAGACCTGGTGGCTTAAACTCATACTGGATGAGTGTGCGTGCCCAAAAATCCAAGAGGAGATTGGAGGAGAAAGGATGGCGGTGTGGTCATCCTCCCTGGGGAGTGATTTCTTGCTTTCTATCTCTCTGTGTCTCTGGTGAGCGCATGTGCCCTATAGCAAAAATCTCTCTCAAAAAAAAAAAAATCCCCAAAAACCTGTGGAATACAAATTCATGAAATTTGTCTTGAAGCTGGTGATAGGAAAAGTCTGGCACCAGCTCATTTTAGTGAGCAGTGAAGGCCTCAGTCCAGAGCCGAGCGCTGGGTTACCTTCCGGCGCTCCTCTGCTGCCTGCATCTTCCCTTCTATGTCCTTCATTGTGAAGTTCTTGACTTCCTTCCTGATCTTCAGCTTCTTCAGTCTGGCTGGTGGCTTTCTCAGTGGCTTCTCAGTTGTGTTCACCTGGGGGAAGACATTTTTTTTTTAAATGGAGGAACAACTGTATTTATTGTCAGAGGAGAAGGCAGGAGAGGCAGAAGATCATGTGAAATGTAAATCTGAAAAACCCTCACTTTCTAGTGGCAGATTATAAGAACAACAATAATGTGAAAGTCAATTACACAACATAATTCATAAAGATAAAGTTGATTAAATACCTTCAAAACATCAAGTTGGGTTGGCCTCATGGCCTGGCTGTTGAGGCAGCAGATCCCACATGGCTGACCTTGCAGTTTGGATCCTGATCTGGCAGCTTGAGAAACATGCCAGGCACGTATGTATGCATGTCTAAATCCCAAAAGGAAGAAGAGATGGAGAAGGGATTGTGGCATGACCATGCCCCTTAGGGGGTGCTTTCTCCTCTTTCTTTCTCTCTTGTTTCTCTTTGGAAAGTGCATGCACCCTCTAGTACAATACACACACACACACACACACACACACCACAAATGAAAAAACCACCAGACTATTGCAAAAAAAAAAAAAAAAAAAAAAAAAGCAAGAATGAAAAGTGTTCTGAAAGTAGATAGAAGAGGACTCCCAAAAGAATATCCTGAGAATGAATATATGTGTGTGTGGTAAACTCAGGACGAATGGATGACTGAAGTGAGGATGTATCAGAAAGCCTAACACTTAATTTGATTAGGCAGCATATTTATATATAATGAATAACTGTGAACCAGATGGTGCTACAGTGGTGATGTGGCTAACTCTAAATGGAAAAGGTCCTGGGTTTGCATCCTGGTTCCTCCCTGAGCACACCAGGTGCATGTGTGCCCATGATCCAGGGGGCTAGGATTAGGGTATTGTGGTATGGAGACTCTGCTGCGAATGTCTGTGTCTCTCTTTCTCTCTCATGGAAAAAATAAACAACAGTTAAAATAAGAAGAGAAAGAGGAAAAAAGAAAGAAGAGGAGGAGAATAATAAAAGATAAAGAGGAGGAGGAGGAAGAAAGAAAGGAGGAGAGAGAGGAGGAGGAGGAGGAGAAGAAGAAGAAGAAAAGAAGAGACATAAAGGTGTTGAACACCAGATGGAGTTCTTTTTAAGTTTCTGGGATGGGAGTGGGAGGTACTATGTCATGCTTCAGCAATCGGATCTGTTGGGGGACTGCCAAAGCCAAGACATTTCTCTAGAGTTTAAAACATATTAGAAGATGGGGGTGGATGGAGTGGCACAGAGGTAAAATACAATGCTCTACAAGGCTGACCCTCATGGGAAGGTTCTGGGTTTTCATCTAGAAACTTTTGAGTACACCAGACACAGGTGTGCCCATGATCTGGGCTGACTGAGGCTGGGGTGGATCACAGCTTCAAGTCATGGTTGGGGGTGTTATCTCTCCCTCTTGTTCACGGAAGAAGTGCACTTTATTTAAAAATTTAATAATTAAAAAAAAAACAAGATGGAGAGCAGTGGCAAAGAGGAATGAATTTGTAATTCAAATTAAAAAGTGCAACCTGATGACTTTATGATAGTCCACAAGCTACGGATTACTTTTATTTGGGATAGAGATTAATTAGTTTTTCTACTTTTGGTATTACGGTGGAGAAAAATTTAATTATCACTCAGCAACAACTCTGGGCTGGGCTTCATTGTTGACTACTTATGAATAGTTTCATGACAACAGAAAAGAAAATCCCATTTCAGGGCTGGTGGTACAGTGGTTAAGGTGGCTGGACCTCATGATTGACTATACAGTTGGAGTCCTGGACCCAGAGGCTTGAGAAACATGTCAGGTATAGGTGTGTGCATGACTGAAAACCAGAAAGGAGAAATAGAGAAGGGATTCTGTGATCATCCCCATGGGGGAGTGCCTTCTTATTTTCCCTCTCCATCATTTATGTTTTTTTCTTTTCTTTCTCATTAATTTTATTTATTTAGGTTTTTGTTATAGGGTTTGTGCACTCACTGGAGAAAGAGAAAGAAAGTGAGAAATCACCCTCCCCCCACCCCCATGGGGTTGGCTATAAAGCAATCTCTTCTCTTCCATTCTCCTTTTGAGAAGGTGGGCGTGCACATACATGCACCCAGAGTGACTTTCAAGTTGGGTGGCCCTGAACCTGAAATGTGGTCCTCCATGTGGGAGTCCACGCCACCTTCTGGCCCCTCCATTAATTTTTTTCTCAGACTTATTTTCCCTGTTATTTCTTCTTTCCCCCTTCTCCCTTCTGTTGATGCGTTAAGGACTATTGACGGTGTCTAAGAGCATTGGCTTAAAAACCCCCAAACCCAAACAAACAAGAAGAAAAAGCAACAATCCAAAACTGCCATCCTCTTCACAGGTTTATACAGATCTTATTTAAAATCTGGAATGCTAGGCTTTACTCAAGCCAGTTACAATAGCAGCAAAAATATTAGTCATGTTAAGGAAAACCAACAACAAAATAATAGTGCAACAATTTCTAGTGTTGTATTTATTTACTCATATTTGATTTTCAGGCATACATATGTTTAGATATATAAGCTTGTCTATTTCAGCTTTGGCATTTAGGCCATTATTCTCACTGGATAAATCAGAATTCAGTTTTATATTCCTAATGAGTAACATGATGTCTGTAAATAAGCAATGCTGAATGAAAATTGTTGAGGGAATGAAGGTCTATTACTTAAAGGGGCTTACTGTGTCTGAAACTTAATAAAACCCAAGACATGTTTTATTTGGTTTCTCGATCATGCATGGTTAGGGCAATTCCTGAATTCATAGAGAAAGATGGTGTGCAGAGGTATGAGAGAATTTACAGGAGAAAAAACTGGTTCAGTTAAATACTGTTGTCTATATTGTAACTA